AAATATAGAAATGTGATAATAAATATAATAATACGGGATAATTATATGACGTAAAAATATAAGGATAATTATAAAATATAAAAGTTATAAGAAAATGTGATTTTGCATAACCACGAAAAGATTAAGGAATTAGGGATTTTTATGCTACTATGGTAACAATATAATTAATTAGATATAATTTATTATAATAAAAAAAATAAATGAAAATAAATATTAAAATAAAAAAAGCAAAAATAATTACAAGATAAGTATAATTTAAATAGTTTTTAAGTATAAAAAAATTATTATTATTTAAGTATATTTATTTTATATTTAAAAGTAAAGATATTTATATATATTTAAAATTATATAAATTTTATTTAAATTTTACTTATAATTTATTTATAATTATAATATATAATTATAAATATAAAATAAAAATTAAGTAGTAAATTATAAACTAATAAATAAAAACTAAAGATAAGATATATAGTAGTGACCAAAAGTAATAACTCAAAGACTAAATTTATTAATAAAACATAATAAAAATTGAAATTTTTTCTTTATATTAAAATTTATAATTTTATTAGAAATAATTTTTATTTTTATATTAAAATAAAATTTATTAGTTATAATTTAATATATATTTTTTTTAGATTTTTTAGATTTTTTAGATTTTTTCTGAAAGAGTTACTTTAATTATAAAGTTAATATAAAAATTTTATTAATTAAATTTCATTTTTAATTAGTAAAAATTTTTGATCAATTTTATAATTAGAATAACTCTTTCAGAAAAAATCTAAAAATCTGAAAAAAATATATATTAAACTATAACTAATAAACTTTATTTTAATATAAAAATAAAAATTATTTTTAATAAAATTATAAATTTTAATATAGAGAGAAATTTTTAATTTTCACTATATTTTATTAATAAATTTAGTTTCTAAGTTATTATTTTTGATCATTATTATATGTAATAATTAAAAAATAATATAAATAATAAAATTAAAAATAAATAATAATATTCTTCTTTTTAATATTACTTAATTAATTAAATTTTTAATATTAAAAATTGATAATAATAGTCTTTAATATTGAATATGTGAATTAATTATAATTTAAAATATCATATTAATAGTAATTTATGAAAAGTTTTCACTTATTAATTTAATAAATATAAAAAATTAAATATTGATAAAAAGAATATTATAAGTAATAAATATTAAAAAATAAAAATTTAATTAATAAATTTATATTTTATTAAAATAAAAATATATTAGTTTATTATAAAATAAAAAATAAAAAATAAATAATATTAGAAAAGTTCTAATTATACTGTTATCATAGTGACATAAAATTCCTTAATATTTCTCTGATTATGCAAAATCACATATTTTTATATTTTTCATTTATTTTATAAATATTCCTATTTTTATATTATATATTACTATATTTATTATCACATTTCTATTTTTAAAATATTATATTTTATTTATATTAATAGCATATTACCGTTGTGATGGAAATGTGTTAAAAATCATGAATGGACTGCTTCATTTAGGAACATAAAACACTGTAAGTCGTGGTGTCCAGATTGTATACATAGTAGACCTCTTACTCTTGAAGAAGCTAAGAAGATTGCATATAGCAAAACGGGGAGTGTCTTTCTGAAATATTTGTCAATATTCGTTCACCTTTATTATGGAAATGTGCTAAAGGACATTAATGGAGTGTTTAGTCTTAAAAGCATAAAAGATTGTAATAGTTGGTGTCCATATTGTGCAGGCACAAAACGTCTTACGCTTGAAGAAGCTAACAAATTGCATATAGCAGGAATGGTGAATGTCTTTCTGAGATATTTGTTAATATCCGTTCACCTTTATTATGGAAATGTGCTAAAGGACATGAATGGATTCAACGCTTAAAAATATTAAAAATAATAACACCTGGTGCCCATTTTGTCAAAATAATAAGCGTGAAAAACTTTGCCGTGAAATTTTAACAAAATATCTTGAACCTCCATCAGAAAATCGCTGGCCTGATTTCTTAAGAACACCAGAGCATTCAAACGGATTAGAACTTGATATTCCCTACTATGATTACGGTTTCGCAATTGAAGTACAAGGAGAACAACATGCAAAATATATCGAATTCTTTCAGAGGAGATCCCGATAATTTTATCAGACAGCAAAAGCGAGATGAATTGTGCGAGAAAAATTGGATCGTTTTAAGGTATATTTGGTATTACGAAGACCCATATATAGTTATCCCAGAGCATCTCGAGAATTGGGCCTTATTGAGTAAACTTAATATGTAATATGCAAACAGTAAATTCGATTCTGAAATGGCATTTCGAAAGTTTATTTTTTAATATATACAACAATTTGTTTATATAAAAAAATTTTCGATTCGCTCAAAGGTGATAGATATATGTAAAACTATGAATCACGACCTGGAGTTAGCAAGAAAGCTAGAAGCTTATCTACAACCTTCTCTTTTTTATTGCACTTTTTTTCTTCGAATTTTCACTTTTTGGTCTCTTTTTCTTTCTTGGGGTGGGCCAAGAATCGGCAAAATTTTCGATTGATGATTGTGACGTAGAAGAATAATTTCCAACTTCTAATATATCATTTAGCAAATCTTCTTCCCTTGATTCAATATTTGCATTCCGGATATTCAGTATGTGTAAGTTATCCCTTATAATAAGCTGTGAAATGTTTAGGAAAACAGTAAGATAAATGAAACCATACGTACAGTACAAATCTTACCTTATGTTGGTATACTGCTGCCAGAAATTTTAGAAAAGATTTTATTCCATCTTCAGAGAATTTGCTATGTACATGGTGAGATACTGCATCCTTCCGAAAAATGCAAATCGATCCTCCGGCACGATATAATCTTGTGAACTGAATCCATAGACCGAGATGCAAAATGCCGAAAACTTGAAGATTATTAGCTTTTTCTTCGTTATAATTCGCTGTTCTCACAAGATCAGCATACATATCACGAAGTGTTTTCGGCATTTTGAACTTTTCAAGAAGATATTTTCGATCCGAAACTCCCAAAAATGATCTCGCCGCTTCAATTGCACCCACTTCAAGAGTTCTATCAACTATGTATACTATCCCATCGATTTTGCGTCCTATCAATTTTCTGATGCCTTTGTTTCCTGACCGACCGCGATTTTTCCTGTTGGCACTAGCTAGTGACGATGCATCGGTCCTACGAGTAAAGATATATTAAAAGTGAATATATTATTTACATCAATGGAAAAATGGTTAAACCTCTTAATATCCGTGCCCAATTGAATATCTCTCATACAGAGGTCGATGCACATCCCGAAAAGGGCGACAGTGAACCAATTTTCGTATTGGTTTCTAATTAAGGGGGAATCTATATTTTCATATAGATTTACTAGTGTTCGCACTGCCATTTGTATCCACTCCTGATTGTAGTGCTTATTGATATCATAGATGGTCCCATCTTGTAAATACGATGTCATCACAGAATTACGAAGCTCACTTAATGTTTTTTTTCCGTATCTCGCCAGCTCCTTTGCAATTTCAAGCGGAACAGCTGGAACCTTAATTCGATCCTCGGTTAATTCATTCCACTCCGTCTCAGTGAACAATGCCTTGACATTTTCGTCGTCATAATTTATAATGTAGGAATGTGCATGGCTGATAACATATGTCAGAATCATGAATAACAAGATAAAAAGTTTTGAGAAACTTACTGTTCATGCTCCATATCTTTGGCGAAATCGAAAAGAACATCTTCGACTATCTTTCCAGACTTCAAATGCATCTTCGCATTATCTGGAATAGCATGGTATGCTTCGCGAAAAGCCAATTTGTTTATTTTAGGAGGATCTTCATCATCCTTATTTTCATCTGTTTCACGATCCGACTAAATAACATTAACAAACTGTGAGATATGTAGAATAAAATAATAAGAATTCTATTATTAGCATACTTCAGCTAATTCATCTTCTTCATCCTCAAACTCATTTACATCATCAGACGAAGCAATTTTACTTCCGCAGTACGGGCAAAATCTCATGAATTCGGCGATATTAATCTAAAAAATCAAAAGAAGGTAAATGTTGTTATCCATTATAATAACAAAATTTAATTCATTTACCTCCACGTGACATTCGACGCAATTATCTCGCTTAAAGAACAGATTGGATGGCTGTGAACTCTGGAAAAAATTTATTTCGTCATCCAAATCCTACGGAGGCGGAAGGTCAGTAATAAAATATATCATAAAATAGCATTGACAATAACATGAACTTACATAGCTGTCATTATATACAGCTGTTCTTCGATTTTCTATATCATTGGATTTTGCGCTTTGAAAATTTGTTCGGGTTCGAATAACTTTTTTCTTCCTTTGCTAAAGTGGATTATTGTTAGCAAACAGCATTTATATAGTATAACTTTCTAATGAATAATACAACAAGCTTCATGCTTACTTTTGCATCTTCATGTATTTCTTGCGTCAAGGTATCTCCGATAATTTTCAAATATTCTGTTCTCTATTTGGGAGCAAACTTATAAGATTGGACTAGAAAGCCACTCCATAAACATAATAAAATATAAACCATACAATAATATTTTTACGAAGATTGTGGATGTGTTGTATAATATTCGGATTAATTTTCTCGATCGTTGCAATATCAACGAGGTTTCGAATGTATCGATCAAGTACTTGTTGTGCTGTTAACGTTGGGTCTTTTTTATATGTAAATTTTGTGAAATTTTCTATGTTACACCACCACTTCAAGGTAGTTTTAGAGAAAAACTTGCTGATTCCAGTGTATGGCTGACAAAGGTTTTCGCTTAGGACGAAATCATCAATATTGCTCATCTGTTTTACGAAAAGATAATTAATTAACAGAGCCAACAGACCCACACACCTATATTCATTTGTAGCCTCCATCTGACTACAAGTTAATCCATCGCAGCCATGCGGTTGAGCACATGACGTTCGCAGGTAATCTCTGACATATTGACCCTAGCCACCCTTTCGTGTTGAACGATCAGGCAGAGTGGTAGCCCCCTGCGACACCGACAGACACCCCCCCCAAAAGTAAGCTCTTTCCGCAGTCTCTTTTCTTACACGTGTGTTGAACACGGAAGATTTGCATGTAAACCCTGGAGCGTTACAATCCAGCATCCAATCTGTCCAAAAGACATCAAGCTGTCCGACCAAGTAGGCCACCTTTCGTGTTGAACTACCAGGCAGGTCTTTTGGTGGCCCCCATGCAACAAAAAGAGACGCGTGTACGTTGTAAACAGAATATTAAATAATACTTAACTTCACAAATCTCGTTCAGTTTAGTAAGAGATTTATAATAAAAAAGCGCGTCAAAGATTTACGTGTCAAAAGATACTTAAAATTCGATCACGGGTAATGACAAATTAGGGTTTTTGATCAAAATCCCATTAACCGTTAACCAATCCTAACATGTGATCAAATTTGAGTATACAACACAACTTTACATTTTACTACACGTGAGGGTCTATTAGATTAGATATAATTTGTCGTAATACTACACCAGAGAAAGCATCTATGGATTTAATTGAATTTTAATAGAGTTCTTGAATTATCGATAAATTACAAATAAAAATATAACTGTTGATAAATTTAACTTTGCAAGAAAATAATATGGGATTTAATTATAATATTATTATTATAGTTCTAATATTCATAATGAAAAAATAAAACTGACTACAGAGAGAGGTTGTGACTATGTGGAAATCAAATTTCTAATTGCTTGGAAAATGAAAAAATGTGACTGGAAGGTAACTATAAAGCGGTCTGATTGTATATACAACTATTTTATTGAACACAATAGTACATAGTTTTGATGTTTTTGTACAAATGTTAACTTTTATCAATTTAGAATTTAATACAAAATGTCTCTCCTGCGCAAAATAAAACTTGTCTTTTATTGTTAAAAAAAATATGATGCAAAAGAGTAACAAAAAAAAATAAAGAGTCGCTACGTTTTTTTGCTCAACATTTTCTTGCACTTTCATCTGCTTTTATTGATTGGCGCGAAGTGACATGGGAGGAAGTACTTGAGGTAGAATTTGTAGGACTTGAGGTGCTAACTGAAGTTCTGGAAAACCGATTGGCTAGTGCCTCCAAATCTTGATTATTTGCATTGCTGGATACAACTGTGATTTCCTCTTTGTCGGGTACAACTGTAGCTTCAACTTTGTCGTTTTGTTCATGCCGCTGGTCTTCAGTTAAACCTAACGTTTTTAATGCAGCTACATCTGAAGGTGTGGCATGATGACGAGAAGCGCGTTTGAATCGGCGTACAGCATCCATCTGTCACATTCAATATAATTAATAAAATTGATAATGAGATAATCAATTTGATTGAAAAGATATCTGTAGTTCATACCACATAAAAAATGGAACCAATGCGCTTAATCGCCGAATTGTATTCTTGTTCTGTGATTTCTGTTACGAGATCTGTACAATTTTCTTCGGTTGATATCATCGGAACTTTGCCATGTTCCGTGATCCATGGATGCTCCTGTCATTATTAATAGGATTATTTCAAATTTTTCAAATTAAACTAACGAATAAACAGTAATTAATTAAACACACGAACCCTAAGTTCCGTCATGGTAATTCGGTTATCTGGGTTTTTGTCCAATATCCTTGTTAATAAGTCTGCTAAATCTGCATCTGTCTCCGGGGAAATCTTTGGACTTGTTTGTTCAAAGATAAACAAGTGAATGATTAATTGAATGACTAATAGTCACAAGAAATTTACATGTGCACTCACGTATCATTATTTATCGATTCATATAAATCAAGTAAATTATCTTTTTCAAATGGTAAATATCCAAAAGTCATGCAATATAAGGTTACGCCCATTGACCATAAATCTGTGGCTTTTCCAGAGACCTCTCCGTGTTGAGCTAAATTAAATAGAGGAGAGTTAATTGATGGATGGATCATTGTAGTAATTATTGAAAAATATTAAGTCAAAGTTACCTTGACATAATTCCTATATATACATAATTGAAAAAAGTAAAAATTCGAGAAAACCAAACCACAGCCAATTAAATAATTTTACTAAAATAGAAAAAAAGACGACTCATACGGGTGCCATAAACGCAGGGCTACCAGCTGATTTCTTAGTTTTGTCATTTCCTTTGACAAATATTTCTGATACTCCAAAATCTACAATTTTAAGCACGTCATCTTTTGAGAGTAAAAGATTGTCGGGCTTTATGTCTACAAAAAATTTGGAAATTTGATGATTAAAAAAATCGATACTATTAAGTAATGCATAATTAAAGATTGTTACAATTGTTACATACCTCGATGAACTATATCATTTTCATGTACTAAACAAGAGAAAATGTCAATATTATTTTATCGTATTAAATACGAAATCGAATCTTTACACCACTTACAATACTCAAACCCAAGAATCATATCTCGAAAATATTTTCGTACTTTGTCTTCTGGGAAAGGTGTTGACTTCTTATGGACATTAATATCCATCAAAACACCTTTTTCGCACATTTCAAAAACTACCCAAAAACGTTAATAATTCATACAATCATTTGATTAATTTTAATACCAAAAACGATATCATATCATCACACCACATCATACTCACCCATATAGAGAGAATCATTATCAGGATCATCCATGACTTCATACAATTTTACCACGTTTGGATGATTCAGTTTTTTCAAAATAGCAACTTCGACTCTAATCAGATATAGAGGATTAGAGGTATCATTATCCCCGGACGGAGGTGGAGGCATAGGTGCACCGCGTCGGCCTCGCCAGCCTCCTCGTGAACGACGATATGTATTGGATTTATCTTTTTTTCGAAGTCGTGATTTACTGAATTCTTTAATTGCCTTTTTGTATTCATTTGAAAAAGAATTCGTATAAAATTCAATCAAAGGACGTTGTCTCGTTAAATTTTTTAATATACTTTTTTTTTTGATGTTTATATGAGTATTCGTTATAAATAATCAATAGATGACCAACAATAATATCTTTTGATGAAATTATTTAGCAGAATACTTACATAAGAACCAACAAAAAAACAATAATCCAAAAAATGCTAATTCTTAACCCAATACCCAAAAAACGAAATGACTAAGAACCCATACATATTTAGTTCCGGTAACTTTGTCAACAGCCAAATTAACAGTTCCATACGCGCCATGTCCAATAATTTCTTTTAAAATGTAGTTGTTTAAGCAACGTTCGCCATCTTGGGTTTCGGTGACGCTAGCATTCAAACTTGTTTTAACCTCGTGTTTTACCGATGGTTCACGTCGGTGCGAAATATTCGCTTTATGTTGAGGCGGGGCTCCAGTAGACTCAGTGCTGGAAAGCGGGGCTCCAGCAGACTCAATGCTGGAAAGCGGGGTGGTTGCTGTCGTGTTAGTAGAAAAAGGAGTAATAGGAGGAGAGGCAGCCGACATTTCTGTTACGATAAAGTAAATAACTCAAATATGCTCGCATGCGGCATGTTTTTCAATGGAATTTATTTTATTTAAAACTGTGCAACGAAGAATTTTATAACACATTAATTACACTAATTAAGGAAATCTTTCAATCAATTTTTTGACAAAGACATACGCTATTTTCACCACAATGCTATTGTTGATCACCAATGCCACCTTTTCCTCCTTATTCTGCAGAAAACGGAAAACTCTTGGCACCCAGAAAAATATGTTTGTTGAATTATTTTAGGCTTGATTGCGTCAAATTACAGCAATTGATAGAAAAAATTTTGATCGTACGATACTTTTCAATTTATTAATTTTTCGAGCACAAGATATTTTTCCTGTTGGTTTATACCTAACTAGAGTATTAATTCATAAATTTTCACGTATCTTTAGCTTTGTTTCAATTTTTTTAAAGAAAAAAAGAGTGCTTTAAAAGGTTTACATGAAATATTTAACATTGGAAAATCATGTGACATGTGATATTACATATTAAATTCTGGCATTAGAATAATGTTAACCAATCAATTAATGAAAAATGACTCATATGTAGTTTTCATATATGAATATGTAGATACACCGTCAATTACGACGATAGTTTATTTATTTATTTATATCTAACAACTACGAAAATTAAATTATATAATTATCTGAACGGACAAACTTAAAATTAATTATATATATATATATAATTTATATAATAAAAATTTTTACTATATATGGTTAAATTGATTCAATCAATCAACCTTTATACTTTTGAATATTCTTCTAATAAATACTAAACACGCGAGATACCCAATCGTCCCTGATAAAATAACAATTATTATTATTATAATTAGTGAATCATGAGAATAGGAAAAATTCAAAAGCTTAAATATTCTCACCTGTCAAAACGAAAAACATTAAACTCATGACAAATGTCCATCCAAAGTATATGACTGCACTCGTGAATGATGTAATGTGTAATTTTGTAATGAAATACATTATTGAGTAAAGGAATATGTATATTCCCGAAGCGCCAGATGTCAAAAATGCTCGCCACGACCAATGATAATCCTATTTGAGTAGAAAAAATCAATCAAGTCAATTAGTATATTACATATATAGAAAAAAAAATAACAATCATACATACCTCAGCGCATAAATGGAAATAACACAAGAGGATAGTGACTTCCGAGCAAGTAATAGTCAAAACAACAAACACTAACGACGAAAATCCAAACAGGTAATACACTTTACTGCCCCAAATACTATTCATGATAAAATAAAGTTCAATAAAGATTGCACCAAATGGGAGAACACCGCCCATCAACATTGATGGGATAGGGCGCAAATAAAATACTTGGTCAGGAATTTGTCGTGGTATTTGGTTGGTTCGAACCGGATGTTCTACTCTCTTTAAAGTAAAACAAAAAAAATAAATTTATTTTTTAAATGCGTCTTCAATAATTTAATCATCAAATAATAAAATAAAATAAATAAATACCGGCTTTTTAAATCCGAAAAATGAGCCAAGGACACTTAGAGGAACCGATATTAAAAACCATAACGCTATTATGATAAATAAAGTAGGAGCTGGTACAGCACCAGAAGACTTCACGGAAACGAGGAAAAAGTTTAAAAACACGAAAATTGAGAAAATAAGTCTAAAAGGAACAAAGATTCCGTTAATAGGTATCTCTTTTATATTAGATTATAGAATAAATTAATAAATATATATTTACAAAGGAAATAGGAAAGCAGTCAAGAAGACATTTTTAATCCACGACTCTCCGCCAAACATTTTGTAAACACGAGCTGATACATAGCCTGATACACTTCCAAATAGCATATATAGTATTATCATGACAGTTGCAAGAGATCCACGATTTGATGGCGATAGAAAACCAAGAACAGCAAACACTAATAACATATAGTAACCTTATTAGTACATTGTAAATTACTAACATTAATATATAATAAAAAAAGTCAAGTCTTACCCAAAGTCACGGCAGTCATAAAAAATAATTGTGCACCACTACCCAATAAAACAGCTAATAGCATGGTATTAGCAGGTGGTCGGAATACATCACCATGGACTAACTTCCAACCAAAATCTTCTTGCACATCTTCCTAAAGTATAATAATAATAATGATGATGATGATGATGATGATGATGATGATGATGTAGATAATCAATTAACTATTAATATTATATAAGCAAAGAATTAAAAATAATGAATTTACCTTATCATCGATTTGATTATATCGAGAGATATCTTTATGCAGGGCACGAAGCAATATCATTGCGACCATACCAGTTAAAAACAATACAATTACTATCGAATTCACTAAACTAAACCAGTGGATTTTTGGATCAAACACGTGCAAATAACTATCCCAACGCGTTGCCCAAGCTTTATCTGTTGGCTGATACGTTATATCAGCAAAGAAATTAATATTATTGAAAAACCAGGAAAAATTAAGACAATTAATTTTTACGTACTGTCCATTCCACATCATAAGTATAAACTACAGTATTTACTGTATCCTCGTTCAATGTTAACTGTTCTTTAGTTTCGCAATTTGTTTCATTTTTATCATTAAGTGATGTTTTTTTACTATGAACAAATAAATGAATTAATAAATAAACTAGTTAATTAATTAATTAATTTGTAGAATAAAAACATTTCAAATATTAGATTATTAGATTATTAGAAATATTACCTTTTTGGCGTAACCAATACACCCACAACTCTATAATGAATATTGTCTTGAGTATGATACTCGATTTTTATTGAATAATGATTATATAATTGCGGTCTAGTCTGATGATTTTGCTGGTTCTGTTGATCGCCCAATTCGAAGCCGATACTATAAAATTGTTCGCCCGATCGAGGATCTGTTTTCGATCTAGCAGCTGGTAATGAATCGATAAGCCAATTTATCGCGTAATTCTCACGAATTCTATCATTGATGAACTTGGCGTCTTTGGGAGGAACTTCTACTTGACATAAAACTTTACAATGTTCTTCTTGCAACATACGAAGCTACAAAGTAGAGATGAATGTAAATTATACCAACTATTCTTCTACTTATAACGTCGACAAGAATTAATTACCTGATAAGGTGAGTTAAAGATACGATCCCCAAATAAAATACTTCCTAACGATTCAGATTGTCCTTCCTTCTTCTCCGGTTGACAGAAATGTAATTGTTCATGATAATAATCGTATGGTATAACAGATTTTAGCTGCTGTGTATTAGGTCCAATAATTGGTGTTAAAGAATTTACTACTAGTTCAACAGGATCTCCTTCTCTGTAATCACGGGGTGCTACACCAGGTAGATAAAAAGCCATAGCATTGCCCACGAAGGCAAAGAACAGTAAGATGAGTGAACCCCTCCCCAAAGCCATTATTATGAAACTTAAAAGGTTAGGAGAGGTGCAGAATATATTTTACAGACTTTTTTTCTTTATTATTTTATTACAAGAAACGAAATGACTGCCCAAGAATCTCTAAATGAAAGTATAAATTTCAATAAATAAATGCCATATGATAAATTTTCTTGATTAACTTTAATTGGTCGTTTTATATTGTCTTTTTGTATGCACAATATCTTATCAGCCTAGTGATCGATAAGATTTTGTCAACACGTGATTACAGGAATTATCCGCACCAGTTACAATTACATCGGCCAAGTTTAATCATATAATTGTGCCAGCCTTTGTTTAAAGCCGACCCTCCAAAATTATCTTGAATATTTATCGCTAGTGAATTTGATGAACTCGGGGTTCAAATAGAAGGATTACGATAAGATTTATTTGATTAGAATGAGACATTAATAGCACACGAGACGACAATTACAAATATGGTTAGACTTCTGCACATGGAACTTTTGTAATGCGACCACATGGTAAGGTTATAGCTACTAATACTTTGCACGGCGGGCATTGACCTCTCTGCTTGCATTGGTAGCATAGACGTGGACATTTATGTGTACATCCTGGTGGACGATCTCTTAAGCAATCGCTTCTACATATGAGCTAAAAAAAATAATTTTCGTCAGTTGGTTGACAAATGCAAGGTAAATTAATCGTTATGTGTGAATTATCATGCAAATTAGACCTCTTTATTTCGTGCATTTACTTCGAACATGTAATCTCCTCACCCAGTTATTGCGTTCAAATGAAACTTTCGCCATTCAATTCATCTTGACAAGATAAATTGAATGGCGGTAGCTTCTCTCGACCCAATAACTGGCCTGGATGAGGAGATATCGCATCCGAAATAAGATGTACGAAACATGAAGGTTTTTACCTCCTGCCGGCATAAGTGAGCATGATCAATCGGATGGCAGTTTAACGGGCAGTTATTATGTCCGCATGGAAGTAGATATTGACATTGTTCCTAAGATTAGAATGGGATAAAGTCAGCATGTTGATAAAATAATATAATAAAAATCGAAACTTACTAGACAACCACCATCTGGCACATATTTATCAAAATCGGATGCTAGTCTGATTTCTGGATTGTATCTTGGGTGGCGTTTACACGTAGTGAGAAGAAAGTCACCATAATTGCCTATGTTCCAACACGAAATCAATTAATTGAAATAAAATATTTATATAACGAAAAAGTAATTGTAATAAAAAATGATGTATCATTATACCTTTATCTTGTAAGCTTTTTATTATTTGATTCCAAACAGGACTTTTCATCAACGCAAATCCATTGCCCAAAATGTACAGTCCACATAAAGCACTCGATATGGCGTGTTTAATGCGTTTACTCGCACCGACATAATTCAACCATTCTTCAGTATGCCGGGGAGACGGTGAAGCGAGCGAAAGTAAAACAATATGCGATTGTTTACCTTCAAAATTATCAATTGTTTCGACGAGAATCTTTTCAAACATCTCTGTATCTACTTTGATAGCTCGCTTTAGGCTAGGGTCCAATTTGCTCCAGATCAACCGCTTCTGTGCTGAATAAGGGGTCAATATCGCAATGTTTTCGGCTATTCGATTATTTTGCTGTGACAAATATAATGCAAAGCGCGTTACATATTCAGCCTCAAAATGGTTAACCATGCTGAATTGTTCTTTGGGGGGATTATCAAATTCATTGTGGGTGATGAATCGGACATTTGAAGTTACTCCCGGTATATTCGGGATATATTCTAGCTCTGGACTATCCACAAGAGTTGTCGTGGTTCCATTTTGCGAAGAACTCGAAAACTTATACAAATCACGAATCACATCATATATCTCCGGACGAATCTTAAATTGTCGTGATAGGATTTGATGTGATGCGCCACTCCTTATCCATCTTTCGAAAAGTGAAATGTTGTTTTGGTCGGAGATTATTTTCTGTTGAATGGTTTTGGATTTCTCGACAAAATAATCATCAATTAATATAAGATGCTCCAGATTCGGCGAGGACAAATAGGGAACAAGTGAGGCTTCTGGTATTTCGGATGCTTCAGCAACTAAAATAACTCGAGATTTGAGTTCATTAACAAGATTACGATGTTTAGAGGCATAAGCGATCGTCATCCCCACCAAAGGGGAATAACCTGCCGTTGCACGCCATCGAGAAGCATAAATATCTTCAAGAGTGTTTTCCAAATCGGTAATCTCGACAAAAATTTTTTCAATCTCGTCAGCCATATAACCGGACATGATGTTTGCATAAGCACGATGTAGTTTTTGCCTTCTTTGTTTAGCCCAATCCCAAATGTCATTATCGCTATCAGAAATTAAAAATTCATTCCACATATGATTAATTTTATCCACGTAATAATTTGAGATCCGCTTAGTCCTTCGGTATTGTTCATTATTATATTCTGCATTAGATATAATGTCCATTTCGTCGAATTGTCGTTCCTGAAGAGTGGCAAACTCAGCAGTTGCAAGTAACGGATCATCAATTGTGTCATCTTTAAGATGAAAACCTTTCAGAGCTTCTTGTTTATTAGACCCACTTAACCAAGCTGCCAAAAGATCTTGCTTTTCAAGCTGTTGCCGGGCTACGAGAGGAGCGTGATTAAAGAAAGCGGTATCACTTAACGCGAAGTTTCTTTTATCTTGAAAGCTTTCTAATTTCCTTTTTAATCTTTTGAAAGCGGATCTTGTTTTAAGAAGAATTTTAATATACTCGGGATCTCTTACATAAACTTGCTCCAGCAGCGTATTAATATCGCGACTTTTTAAACTGTCAGGACAATTTCTCGGTCCACAACGAGTAAGCCTCGTAACAAAAGGATTAACTTTTTCGAGGATGTTGTCTAAGGCACGAGAAGTTCGGGTAATGAGTATTATTGGTTCGAAAAAACCTCGACTTTTTCGGATTTGAGTAATTAGGTCAATGGAATTCACTAGAAATTCTATTTGACGCGTCCCTATTGATAAAGAGATATAAGACATTATTGATATTTGTTATCCAAGACAGAATTCATTTATAATTACCGATAGGCGTAATAGTAACAGATATTTTGTTCAAAAAGAGATGCTTTAACGCTTTCACTTCGGATGAATCAATTTTATACGGTGAACTCCGAGAATCAGAACATACTGGCCATGTGCCTGTCGCTAAAACCTTTGAATTTCTAATTTCTTGCTTCAGGATCCGTCTCAAATCCACCTTTGCATCGATTGAATAATTCGGTGGTGAGCTCGTTGTTGGACAGGTAAGGATTTCTCGACCCAATCTAAACGAGCTTGTTAATGGTTTGTCATCTCGAAGCCATTCAAGACTCTCATGAATGATTGGATAGTAAACATTCGATGCAAACATGGTATAACTTGTATTAATATCTAATTTCGATAATTGATCTTTATGAAAATGCAGCCCAATAATCGAGTCTTTTAATTCGGTAGACCTCAGATCTTTCAAATTGAATTCCTTCACGATTCCAAAGATCACTGAATCTTCGTTGACTGGAAAATTAACCTCTTTAGGGAAGATTCCATCGTTAACTTTTGCCAGAATAACAAAGGATCCTGGCAAAAGGTATTCCCCAAGAGTCCAATCAACTGGCTGGTTCGGTTGGAATTTGAAGTATATAATTAATTGTCCGCTATTATGCATATCTGCGTTGTAATATCTAACATCTCGATAGAACACTTGATTTATGTTCCCCATTTTGAATTTATTATCCCCATCTATAGTAAAAGACTTGAGCCAAGTGAGAATTAGTTGCTTCAGCGGTTCAATAAATTGTTGTCGCAGTTTGGTATAGTGCACGCATTTATAGATGTCATCTATTTCCAACGTCCATGTAATATCTTCGAGATCTGGCGTTTCAACAATTGCCGTTGCTTTTTTGCAAAATGAGGACAGATCAAAAAGTTCGCCAAAAGTCGGAACAATTGGTAAATACGGTTTACTTTCACGCGTTTTCCTGATCCATTCCGGTATTATCAGTTGAGATTTGGATAAAGATGCGAAATATGGTTCTATTGATCCCGAACTCTGTTGGTATAATCTAATGATCTGTAATAAACCTTGTGCTTTACTACGTTCATATATTCTCTCAGTATTGTCTATGCTTTTGGTTATAACGTCAAAGCAATGCGTAATCTCCAAAACAGGAAGTCTCGCACCATAACAGTTTTTATACCTACACATCGCGTCAAAGGTGTAAAGCACATCCAACAATTTATCCAAAGAATCCACATACGAGCGTAAATATCCAATAGTCTTGCCGGACCAATGGCAAACGTCAAATGCTTTCATGATTCGTGCAATGTCTTCCGACTTGCGTAGACTTGAACTACGCAACACTGTGTGAGATGATAAGATTCTAAAGATAATTTCGATAGTTCTCCATTTGAAACTATCATAATTGTTAAAGATATTTGCTGCATTCTCGGCGAAACCAAAAAGCCATCTTTTTTTTGGTAGTTTGATTAGATCGAGCAAGTAGTTTGCGGTTTTCTTATCTTCTGGATAACCTAATCCATCCTCTCCTATCACATCGATGATAATAGTTTCTCCAAACTTGTACTGGTTTGGAAGCGTATCTGGAATCGTCAAAGGGCTCGACGAACCATCAGGATTCGTCCAGTACATATCCAACTCTTGATTGATACAATGATTCACGTTAAACTTTATTTCAGGAGGACCAAAAGAGCTGTGACTCTCAGTACCCGAACTTTCAGAATCCCAAACTGAGTTCGATTCGTTCGACTGTAACTCCTGTAAATTTTTTAATTTTTCTTCTAGATTCTGGATATGCTCCGTTGTTGCAATATTGTCAGTTAAAACTACATCAATGTTCAAGCTCCATAGTTTGTTCACCAAACGCAAGTACTTTTGGGCCGAAAAAGGAGTCGATGATTTTAAAAAGAATTCCGAGGCTCTATTCTGTGTTTGTGCGTAGTTTGACCGCTCACATTCCTTGCTTCCGCTCGCTTCTCCACAAAAGTTTTTGGGATCCATTCCACAAGTTGTGTCAGAATTTACTTCTTGTTTGGGTAAAGACGCATTTGCGTCTTGTTATAAATAAAAAAATTTTATATTTAAGCCACATTCACAAAGTACGCGACGTGATATACGCATTTCATGAAATTAGTCGTGAAATTAGATATCAAATAAATTCGAAAATCCTGAATATTAGACATAAAACATAACTGACCAGTTAGTGTCAAAAGGAATATATGACGATTTTAAGTTGACCGGAATGGACCTCAACACTGTATTTATATTTTTTCAATATTTGAAATATGTCAAAATTTTATAATTTATCTCTCTCTCTCTCTCTCTCTCTCTCTCTCTCTCTCTCTCATATCTTCCTGCTACAAATTTTTTACAGCTCATTCTTTTCTTTCGATTCTTTCTCTAACATTAAAAAAACAAACGATACTCGATCTTTACTTGTTGTAGAGAAATTAAAAGGATGATGTTCAAGATAAAGAAGAAAAGCATTAAGGGATACTTTGTTTAGATTAGTTGTTAAACAATAATGTCATCCCATTTCTTAAAGACGCAGCTATGATATCGATATTTATACTGGAATGATTCATCAATTTTTACAGATACTAAATAACGATTTTTTATAAAGTATCGCACTTTTGCGAAATAAGCCAATCCGCGGAAAAATACGATACACTTATTTCATAATGAATGTTATTATGATAAAGCTAACAGTTACAAGTTGTTGCAACTAGAGTCAAAACTCGGTAAAGTGAACCCACGATAAGGCGAAGAACCTCTTTAGGCTCAAAGTTACTGCTAAATAAAAAAGAGCTTGATACAACAAAGAAATATAATAAACTTGTTGTAAGCGATGATTTTATTTATCCTGTAAAGTTGGCAAAATACCAGTCTTTTTTTAATTATATGGTAAAAATCTTTCGCCACTATTTTCCATGCGGATTGTACTGAAGCAAAATATCAGGACAGTCCAAAAATTTTGACTTATCAAATTTACTTTTAATTACAGGCTCGCTTAGATTATTGATTTCCTTTATGTGATATAGAATTAATGTTTATCGTTTTGAAGCAAGAAATTTTAATTTTTATTCGATTCATTATGCCATTCGCTAAGATACCTAAATTACCTAAATTAAAAAAAACCTTGTTTCTTTATTTTATAGCAGAAAACTTGGTGATTTATATATTAAATGGGTTTTGTTTAACCAAAAATATTTCATGAATCGAAGAATCGCTTGATATAGTGACAGTACACTAGCCATGCCGACAAAATGTTTCCATACACATTATTTCAGTTGTGTTTAAGTTTAGGATTAGAGTCTGAGTCTGAGATTATATGGAACAAACAACATCTATATAATAAAATTTCGCAAGGAATATTTTTTGTTAGTTTCATAGGCAAAATTTCGAGGTACAAGTTGTTTTGAATTTTTCCGTTACACATTGACCTTGCGATTTGATTGGAAATTTCTAAATTTCGATTGATAAATTATGTCATTTGATCATGTGACTCTATAATAAACCATACTTTGTAATACTATTATTAAATGATCGACATACTAACGCGTTTATTATAGTTATGCGCTTATTTATATTATTTATATTGCTAAATTTTTTAAATGGCGCGTTTCTCGAATATATAAAGGGGGGGAGGGGGGGTAATAAGGTATCTCTACCACAAAGAGAGTTTGAATTCTTTTTGTATATGACACTGTCCTGTCTTCTTCGCTCTCTAAGAAATGTGCTCCCTCGGGAATGCCTCACTCCTCTTCGGAAGAGTATTTTGGGAGTGCCGTCTGTGAAAAATTTTTCTATGAAAGATTTAT